CAAATATCAAATAAGCTATTTTCTGTACACTATTAGTTTGATAAAGAAATCCGTTGCTCAGTTGATCTTTTCTATTGACTTTTATCAACTGTTTTCAAATTTAAAATTGTAGTATACATTTCAATAAAAATGAGAAAGAAACGGGTGAGAGAACAAAAAACGGGTGTGATGAGAACAATTATTATTAAAGAAAAAATAAAATCATTTTTTAATTTTTTTGATGCATCGATAATACCTGAAGGAAGAATTTATGAAATGGAAGAAGAAGAACAAATGATTTTGGAAGCGGATTTTGAATTTGGAATAATGTTAAAACAGAAAATATTACCACGAGCTGTTGTCTATTATACAGGAGACATAAAAAATTTCCTTGACGAAGAATTTTTTTTTTGGTTTTTATACATTTATCCAATCAATCGAAAATGATCATGCATATAATATAGCCTTGAAAAAAATTTGTACAAAGCAAAATAGTTTACCGTCACGTAAGAAATTATATGTTAATCGTAATCACCGTTTACATAATTTAGAAGATAGATATAAACAAAACAGTATAAATTTAAATGACTTTTTGTGTAAGGTATCGAAAACAATCGGTGTTAAAAAGTTTTGATCTTTTTGTCAAATGTTTTACAAGACTATATTGCATGCATGATCATTTTGAAATAAAAACGTTATAATTGCTCAGTTGATCTTTTCTACTGAATTTTATCAACTGTTTTCAAATTTAAAATTGTAGTATACATTTTAATAATTGCAACTATAATTCCATGTTTTACAACGGATAAAAAAAAGTGTCGATGAAACAAAAATCAAGTTTAATTGATTAAAAACATTTTGTCGACGAATCAAGATAGAAAAAGTGTCGACGAAACAAGAATGGATCATTTGGAATGTGTGTAGGTCTATATGATGATATTATATTGGGTGTGAAGAATACGCCAAGTCAAGGTTCAATACAATTTTATTCACGCTAGACGCACTTATAACAATTTTTTTTGTCTCAAGATATTCGTGTTGTCTCGGTGAACGTAGAAACTTTCCATTTTTGTTTTTTTTTGCGTTTTTTGTATCTAGATGATCGTAGTTATACAGTAAATATTTATAATAAAGCGTCGTCTAGTTGGTAGTTATACAAATGAAAATACATCCTATAGATTATGGAGAATAGAATTTTTCGATGATGATAATATATTATTGCGATTTGATGTTGATTTACGACAACCTACCAGTTATCAAAGAATAATAAATTTAGTATTAAATTTTAAAAAGATAATTCGACGGGCAAATACGAGCCAATTGCATCGATAGAAGAAAATAATATTAATGGTTTGGAAATTGGTCACAAGAATGAAGTAATACTCGGTATTCGAAAAGACAATAGATTAACTGGTCTTATCAAATGTTAGATATAATCAAGGTGTTTGCTTTCCTGTATGATAAATTATGTTTGCTCAGATATTCTTCTATTTTCTGATAGTTGGTATAATGTTTTTTAATTATTTTGTTAAAACTTATTTTTGTTCATAGTTGTCGATTATATGAATCTTTAATGTTTGTAGAAAACTTAATAGTTTTTGTTCGTTTTCTTTTTCCATAATGGAACTATTTTAAGTGCAGTAGAATAAAGAAAAAAACGTATGATAAATTTGTAATTAATCCATACCAACAAACGAATTCTAGGTGTATGAAAAAATGCTTTATCTAAGGAAAAAGAAGAAAAAGATCTAATTTGCGACGTCTTGTGAACTCTTCTATACTATTGTTTTTATTGGATGTCTGAAGATTTGTAGTAAGGAGTAGTTTGGTTATTAATATGTTTACTGATATGATTAAAGTATCTTTTTCAATATGTGAAAGTTCAGTGGACGATATTATAAATCTTGAAACCGACAATTTTTTGTAATTATAAGCTTCTCTAATGATATACAGTGATGATGAGAGCTCGGTGAGTTCGCTTTATACATCTAATATTTTTTCCTGTTTCAGACTGAAAGCAATGGCTATTTATTTGTTTGTACGTCGTATGTATTAGTATGTCACGAATCTCAGAAAATTTGATTATTTGTTCGTTGTGCAAAAAATATTTTACTGACGCTCGTCAAGTATTTTGTGGTCATCCGTTTTGTTATGCTTGTATATCGAATAAATTTAATGATGACAATCAAATTTTGGTTTGTCCAACATGCAACAAAGCACATCAATTCCAATCAAGACAACAATTTCAAAGTTCACTTATGGTTGATGGTTTTTTAAATAAATTGGTGAAACAATTTCTTAAAAATAAAAGTCGCCGATCGTCACAATCGTCAACAATAATTATAAATGGCCCTTTATCTGCTTCATGTACTACATCTGCTTGTTCAACACCATCTATCTCATTGAAATCGTCATCTCCTTCAATAGTTTCAATTCAACCACAAGCCACAACTGCAGCACGTCTTGTTGCTCGTTGTTCATCATGTCAGCTTCGTGCAGAGTTAACAGTTTGTGATCATTGTGAAACAGTTATTTGCTCAAAATGTATTGAACAACATCAAAATATAATCAATAGTGATGTAAAAGAAAAATGGAAATCATGTCAGGATAAATATCATGATATTAATGAAAAATCAAGTATGTTTAGATAGATGAGAGAGAAAGAATATTTTATGATATAATCAGTTGATTTATTAATTATTTAGAACGTTACGATATTCAACAAACATCGATTGAAGCAGAATTTAATTCTATACGAAAATTTATTGAGCAACATGGTATTCATCTTATTCAAAGTGTTGAAAATCAACGTGATACGTATTTGGAAATGATTAATGATTATGCGGATAAATATTCGTCCAAGTATGCTTGTTAACATCTTTTTAATGATTAAAAAGACTGTCTTTATATTATTTCAGTAGTCAACAAGATGATGTCAAAAATGAATATGAATCGATTGATAAACGTTTAAGAAAACTTTTGAGGTAATAATCGTATTTTTAACAAACTTTTTTCTGATATTATGTTTATTTATCTTTATTCCATTTAGTTCAGAAAACATGGATGCAAATGATGTAGAAGATTTTATGCTGGAAATTCAACATTTGGAAAGTAAAATTGAAGAAAAAAATGAAGTTATGAAGTTAAATCCATTGAAGGTGAATAAAAATTAATAGAAAAACAACAATTGACTCTAGGTTGATAAAAAATTGACATAATTTAATGATGCATTTTCTCTCGCTTAGACTAAGTTAATTGCCACTTTGAGTGACTTGTCAGAATCGAACTGAATGTTGTTGTGTACATTGTTGCTTATGTTTGTGGCGTAGCCATATTATTTGAATTTCTTAAACTTAATTCTTGATGAGAGAAATTCAATATTTATTTATTAATAGTTAATGATTCATTTAGTTTCCTGTTTTGGCACCACCTGAATCAATCAAAATTTCACAATTATTTGGAAAATTGATGTATAAATGTGTGGATGAAAATGGAATAGAGCATGAACAAAAAAAGGAAATGAAAAGTCAAGTTAATATTGAAAATGAAATGACTAGAAAACAGCCACAATATAATGATAAAGGAGATTCGGATGACGATTATATTATTGTTAATAAGAACGATGTTCATGTGAAACGATTAACAGATGGTAGAAAAGAAAAAACAACATCAACAACATTAACAACAATTAAACAAAAACACATGGCATGGTCAATTGAATATAATAGTATACCACATTTTTTACAAATATGGTCCACTCAATTGTATATTGTAGACAAATATGGTTATATGGAAATAAAATCATTTGATAAATCAAATGATTTACAAAAGTGTCCACAACATGTTAAAACCGTTCGATTATTTGATAATTTTAAACAAACTGGTGAGGGAGAGACAAATGATGAAACAATAATCGATTCATTTACCATTCATAAATATTATATTATTGTATTTAAACGTTTAAAACAGGAATTAAAAGGTATGATGATTGTAAGAAAGCTTTTTATTCTTATATTACAGTAGAAATGATGTATATGTTTTCTTTTTCTTTCAAATATGATGAGTGAAACGAAAGAGAACAGGATTATCTCCACTCTAGAGAAACTATGGTAGGAAGGTTTTTAATCTTTGTTCCGTATTGAGTAAGCAAAAAAAAACAAATGCCTATATTTCGAGAAGAAACCATTTCATTCAGGTAAACAGGTAATTTGAGTGAAAGAAAACTTTTTTTTTACTATGTCACAATTCTCTAATTGAAACGAACGAAGAATTCTAATATTTTTTTCTAATTTCTCATTTCGAGGTAAAATTCATTTATTTAAACATAACGGTCAATGTTTAAAAGCATGTATTGCACATGATTTTCCATCTCGTGAATTTACAATTGATAATGATTTAAATTGTCTATTTACAATTGATCAAAGACAATGTTCAATTTATCGTACAGATTTACTAGCACCAAATGATCAACTAAACGATATTGATTATATAAATGCGTTTAATAATCGTTCAAAATATATTGAATTTCGAAAAGATTTTGTCCCATTGCATATGGTAATTAATCAAAAATCAATTGCCGTTTTAGATAAACATCAACATGTGCAAGTATTAGATAAAAAAACAAAAACACCAATATTTGAATTTTCTGACTGTTTTATTGAATCACATTATTTGTGGAATATTGGATTGTTTAATGATAATAGTCTTCTATTAAAACTGGATGAAGTAAACTCAATTAAAACTATACCCAAGCATAAATTTTTTCAATTAAGTTCAATAAATAAACAACCGATACAACAATTTGAAGAAGTCGATGCATTCGGTTTGATTGTTACGTTAACAAATGAAATTCTAATTGGTATTAGAGCAAATTCAAAAGGAATAATTAAATGTTATATTGAATACTAGTCAACAGTTATCTTCTAGTCTAATCTATAAAATTACTTCAACAAATCATCATGTCTAATGGATTTTTATTAATCACATTTTTTACTCGCTGTTGTATGTAATTAATTCGGAACACAATTATGATTTTTCTGTATAATCTCATTAACGAAAAGAACAAAAATTGTTATATGTTATACGTTTAATTGTTTTTTCTCTCTTACATGTATTATGGCTAGCAGTTATTACACGAGAAAGATGTCGAAATGTCCCTAAGACAGTTCAGTAACTCTCATTTCCATAGAATACTTCTTATATGTTGCAAGGTTAGCTCAAGACATATAAATGATATCGATCATTTATTTACTTTCTTTCTGACTATTAAATAGTGCAAGTTTTTATCTTGAACAATTTTTGAACGTTTTCCCCATCGGAACGAAATATTCTTCTATATATTGATCATATCAGGTTTTCAAGGGGTGATCTAGATGAATAATAGGGTTTATGGATAAAATATCACTGTTTTACGTTCTACATGCCATATTCCTTATCGATGTAGTGGCGATATCCCAGGACATAAAAGTTTTTGTGAAACGTTCGGATTATTACTTTCAACAGAAGCATTCTATGAAAATTTCATTCCAATCTACGAGAGTTATTTAACAGTCTTAGCGACATTTCGACATCTTTCTCGTATAATGAATTCCTAGCAGAAAACTGTTTTGCTTTTTTCTGATTTATCACGTTATTGACGCACACTTCATTTAAAACAAATTACCTGAATTTTGTGATATCTCTTCTAGGTTTTTATTATTACCACTATCTCTAGGTCAGTAATTAGACAGTGATTCTTGAAAATACGATTTTAACGTTATAAATTGATGTCACAGTTGAAAAAAAGATATTACGACGACAAACACAAGATTTTCTCTCTTTATTCAAAAGATTTCGCTACCGTTGTTTGGGCCTTATACGTACATCTAAAAGTGTTACCCAGGCAGAAAAAACTAAGTAAGGAAATCTAGCTTATCAAATAGCTCAAGCGCCCGCTTAATCGTAGATTTTTTGGGTCAAATAGCTAGCTGCGCCGAGCAAGTGCTCACTTGCTAGCTGCAGGCGGTCGAGCCAGTGGGCGCTTAATTGAGCGATTAGCGTCCAATTCAAACACATCAGCCAGCTTCAACTCACTTAAGCCAGCTTTAATGGGTTATGGGTTTGATGGAATTTTTACACGACCTTACGACTATTAATGACATTGACCAGAGAGGGTCATCGTGGCTTCCTGGAGAAAAAAAAGATTATATTCTTTTAGATTTTCAAAAAATGGTTTACACTTTGGTGAAAAATACAGATCGACGATTTTAGTTGACAACATGTCTTTTATGAACATTATAACCATTAGAATGGAATATTTTCTTAAACATAGCCGAATTTCACTGCTTTCAAGTTGATGTGTTCATTAATATGTTTTTTCTTCCTTTTATTCTGTTCATGACGATATGTTTTTTCTGATAAATCGATAGATTCCTTCGTTCGCTTTTATTTAAACTAGTTCGGTCTCTTGATGAAATAGAGTCAGAAACCTCTGTTCTTTAAATGTACTTTATTTTTTAAGTTGATGTTTGTTTTTGCTTGTTGACTATTTTTTTTCTAATTGAATATGAAAAAAGAAAAACGACTATAAACAAACTAACGTTGGCCAAAATTAACTGAAAATAATTTATCGTCTATGTGCGTTATTGAGTCAGAGGTGAATACATCATCCATATTAGTATATAATAATGTCGAAAAACTTTTACCAGTTCCAATCAATAATTGTTCATCATTTTGACACATTGATTTATCAAAACATAACCTAGTGTTTTGTAAAGTCTCTCTCAATATTATTATATTAGAATAAAAATTGCAACAATTAGAATGAGATCTTTTCTCTCATCTCACATACAGCCAATATTCGAGTAATCATTTCAATCGTGATATTAATACCAATCATATCCCATACTAGCTAGCATGTTTTATTCATCTTAACGATCTGTTCGTGCTTTCCATTTATCCATACAATCTTAAACATCGATTGCTTGTGAGTTATGTGAATTGATTAGTATTCTAAATAAAAATTAACTGGATAGAATTATTTGAAAAATGAATAAAACCAATTCATATCTGAAATCAACGATTTAGAATTCTGGTGGAATCGTACCAGTATCGAAGTCTGTATCGAGAACAGGACAAAATATAGTTAGAAGAGTTTATGGAAATGCTGGAAGGATATGTAATTTAAAGCCAGGTGAAAGTGGAATCTTTTAACATACTCGTACACATTTTCTTTTCTTCGCGTAAATACAAGAGGGTGGGTTGCATATGGGTGTCTCATCTGAGTGCGTTGCATTTTAGAGTGTCTCATTTGAATGCATTTTAAGAAGAAGAACTGCTATGCACGTTTAGCAGCAGTAAAACATCCTCCAACTGCCAAGACATAATCTAACGGTTGAGTTAGACCTAGATTAAAGTCATCTGTTATACGTTGTATTGTTGAGTCTTTGATATTTTAATTTATTTCGACTGTAACATGTTGAATTATAACGACATATTGTGCATGAAGTGTTTCAATCAATCGTCATGCAGTCGGTTGTGTTTGTAGTACACGTAACAGTTTAAAATATCATAATTCAACATTATTTTTTCGACTACCTTGACCTGAAGCATTCCATACTTTAATGTCATACACTGTCCCGGAAAAGCATACTTTTAGAAAAAGCACACTTAAATTGTGCCAACGACATGGAAAAAGTGTACCAAAGTATGCGTTTTATGTGCTGCTAGCATGCTTTTACCGTACCACTGATACATTTCTAGTGTGCTTTTGGCACACTGCGGTAGCATTTTTGAAAGCTTTTTGTGTGCCACTTCTAAAAGTGTATCATCGGCACACTTTAAGTGAGTAATGTCTGAAATAAAAGATTACTAACCATTAAGAATTAATAACAAACAGTGATGACAGAAACTGTCAGAAAAAAAACAGTGTTCAAAAAGTTTCAAAATATTTTCAAGAATGAGTGGTGTAATTGAGAACGTACCCAAATAAGACGCGTTAAAATAAGATGCATTTAAATGAGACTCACTCAAGTGAAGCCCCATCGTGAAATATAATATGAACGACTGAATCATACATTAAATGTAGCAAGAAATATCATCACAACAATATAACAGTGAATGAAAGCAAGTTAAAATAGGGGAGAACAAAACAGCATTTTTCGCATTGATTCTTAATGAAAACGATGCGGATACTATTCATCCTTTCATCAGTAAAATGGAACAATGCAACGAAAAAAAAACACTACAAAACTGATTATCACAAATAAACGTTTGATAAATCCTAAAATGGACGCAATGTTTAGCTAAATGCTATAAGACTTTCCGAATTATTAAAAAAAGAAGACAGCATACGTTCACCGAGACAACACGAATATCA